GGTGTGAGGGGTGGAGGGCAGCCCTGGGTGGACTGGCAGAAGAGAAGGAAGCTGGAGAGCAAGCCGCAGGAGCAAACCCTGCTGAGCACCTACGAAGGGGCGGGCACTGCTCTGGTGCTAGATCTGAAAGAACAGCCTGTGGGGGTGGGCCCTCTGCAGGTGAGGAACCAAGCTCCGTGAGGCAGAGGGTGGCCTGGCCGGCTATAGCCTCGGTCCTCTCCTTCCTGGTTGTCACCTGGTCTCCTGATGGCCAGCCCTTCCCTAGCCTGAATGTGGGAGTTCACTTCACACTGCCATACCACTCTGTCTCAGCGAACACAGAATGCGTCAACTGAGGAAAGAATCGACCCAAACTCCCAAAGAAGATGGGGAGGTGGGGGGAGTGGAGTGGCGATGGGGAAGAAACCTGGCAGCGTATGAAGCAGGCCTGTGAACTGGTTCATTCTGGTTTGAACCCCTGCTGAGACTCTTCATTCCCACCCGGAGATATACTAAATCGGGACCCCCATTTTAACGAGATGTCTAGGCCAGAATCCACTAGGGATGGCACTCACCTGCGGATCTGGTTAAAATGTAGCTTTGGACTCAGTGCATCTGGGGTGGAAAGGCAAGTTAGCTGCAGGGGTTGGCCGAGGATGAACCAATCTGAAGGTCTGACATGAAGCAGCAGGATGGGCTGTCTTCCTCCTGGCCGAGGAGACTGCAGTGGGGCTGCAGTGGGCTTAGGCTCTGGCTGGACCATGCAGGCCCCAGGCAATGAACTACAAAATTGTGACCTAGAACTAATGTGTGCTGGCACTGTTTCCAGGGCTGGTGGAATTTCCAGATCCCCCCTGGGTTGTGTCCCCAGGGCGGGCTTACAAATCCCCTCTACAAGGATGATTCAAAAAGGTTGTGGGGGAAATTCCATTATCTTTTAGTCCCATTCCCCCACAAACGTGTGAAGCCCCTTTGTGTCTCCTGTCCTAGACCCGCTGGTCCCTTGGCTGAGAGCAGACACTTCCCTCTCCAGCTTTCAAGACTTCCAGGCTAAGTCTCAGGCCATCATGTAGGATCACTCTACAATCGCATCCTGCCTTGAGATCTTAATATCCGTACCTGTAATAGTAACTGCGCTGTTAAAAACTTGTGTGAGGTTGCTGTTGAGAATGCATACAGCAAAACATGCACCAATTTAAGTTTCTACTCTGTGACACTGATTATACCCTTCAAGTTAGACAACCATCCTCATCCTCTTGTTCCCAGCTGTCCTTCCTCATCAGCAACCACTCACTGTGCCCCACATCTCTCCTCCAATCTTTCGAATGGATAGTAGCAATCTGATTCCATATTGATCTTGAAAGAGCACAATCTCAAGACAGGCATATTTAGCTGACCACAAACTTCAGGGAATATTTCTGATTTAAGGATTATCTCAGGGAATAGTTTCAGGGGCTCGCCCACCTTCTATGGCTCCAGAAAACCTGGTGTCCATGAGAATTTGACCTATTCTACATTCCCCTCCTATTGATTAGGAGTCTTCTCTAGACTCTGTGATCAGAATGCTCAGGGACAGGAGCAAGGTAGGCCCCATCCAGTTCTTCTGCTCTCAGGGGGAAAGGGGCACTTGCTCCTGGAGGCAATCAGTCACCTACTTCATATCCTCCTGCTAGGCCTGACTCTCCTTGTTCCTCTGTTGCTCCAGGCAAATAGAAGCCGGTCATTGTACCCTGGGGTAACCACTTGCTTTTAAGACCTGCACAATGAAGTGGGGGGCACTGCACAATGAAGGGGTGGGGTGGGGGGCAGAGGCCCAAGCACATTGGTATGCCAATTAGTGAACCCAGGACCTACACCTCCAAACCAAGGAGCAAGGAGCCAAATCCCATGAGATCTTTAGATGTACACAAGCAGCCCCCATTATTGTTGTTGTAAATAGACCTAGCACACAACTGATGCCGATTCAGCTTTTCACAGGTGTCTATCTTAGTATAAGCAGTTGTGAGAATGGCTGTGCACCCTACCCTTAATCAATGCAGTCGCCCCTTAACCATTAGCCCCGCTTTTCCCGCCCCTACTGCCCCGACAACCACTAGTAAACTACAGACGCCAGACACTTAGCACTAACACTTGCTGAGCCCTTCCTTTTGTGCCAGGTACTGGTCTTTGCACTTTACATACAATCCTACGATTGTTGTTGACCTTAGCATGATATTCCAGGTGAGGCAAACACGACATGGAGAGGAAGGCATCCACCTGAAGTTACACAGCTTGTCAGTGAGGAGCTGGAAGTTGAGCCTGGGCAATCTGACGCCCTGTGTTTGTGCTCCGCTTAACCATTCCTCAGGCCCCAGGATGTAATACCATGGAAAGAGCAGACTTCAAAATCAAGCAGCCAGCACAACCGTTGACTGCTCACTTATCCCTGGGGAACCTGTGATCTTGAGTCTCTGTTTTCTCCTCCACAAAACAGGCACAACACACACACTGCCTGGAGTTGCGTCCAGGGCCTGAGTCAGTGAGGGCCTCGGTTATGTTCTCTCGCCCGGCTCTGCTGGGTCTGTCAGTCACACATTTGGTAGACTCTACTGTGGCTTCTACCCAGGGAAACTTTGGTTTCTTTATAGTCTGGTCTAGACTTTTCTATCTCTTTGTGAGGGGCTATCAGGGGATTTCAGAGCATGAGACTGAGGGGCTATCAGGGGATTTCAGAGCATGAGACTGGACCCCCGTTAAGTCAGTGTCAAGTAGGCGGTGGTGGTAGGGTAGAGGGCAGGAGCTGGCTATGAGAAGCATGGTTTTAAGCCCAAAGGAACTCTTCCTCGGCTTCAGATCTCCTACCAGGGCTCACAGGTGGCTTTCTGGTTGCATTCTGCTGCAAAGCTTGCACCCTGCAGAGCACTCACTGCCAACCTCATTCCTCCCGGGACAGGGAGCACCAGGTGTCGCTCAGCTCACAGGCACGAGATGTGCCCAGAACCCTGTGACCGCGTCTGCCTAGGCTCGCTCTGGAACTGTTCTTTCAGTGGGCTGAGAGTCAGACTGGGCAATGGGGGGCAAAAGGTGGGTCTGCCCTCAAGGAGCTCACCAGCATGCCCTGCTGCTCCTCGGCCTCGCAGGCCTCCTCACTGGGCACATGCTGTGCTGGCGCTGCCAGGACCTCATCGCTTCTTTCCCCAACAGAGCAGTTTCCTTAGCACTGACCCCCCACCCCCATCCCCCGCCAGGGAAAAGGGAAGCAGCGGGAATTCTCTAAGAAGTATTCCCTGTGTCAGGTCTTTTACACACTTAATCCACCCAACAAGCCAGGTGGAATGATCATCTTCATTGCTCAAACTGGGAAGACAAGGAGCATGCGCACAGAGGGACAGAGCCAGCGTGAAGCAAGGCTGCGCTGAGCCTGGGCTCTGGCCCGGTCAGTGCAGCCTGCTGCCCTCACCAGCCCGGGCTCCTCCCTTTGTGCAGACCTCGTCCACTCACGCTCCGTCTTAGTTAGTGTGCCAGTCCCAGACGAAGCCCACCCTCTCTAGGTCCGGTGACTGGGAGAGCAACAACATCCTGGGCACTGCTTTGATTCTTGGAGTAGCTTGTCTTAATTACTCCCAGGCTGCAGCAGTTCCGCTGTCATGTAGCCGGTAGGGCTGCAGAGGAGGCAGGTTGGCTGTGACATTTGCTTGCTTCTCTGACTCCAGCTCCGTTTCCTCCTCACCCCCTCCACCGCTGGCCTCCCTCCTCAGCTGTCCTTGTTTCGCCTCGGTGCGCATTACAGTGGGGCCTGCAGAGCAGCGCCTCACAGTCTTGCCACCCCAGGCAGCTAAGCCGGTCAGGCTCAGTTCAGAAGAGGGAGCTGGCGTCTTCTGAGTCCAAGGCACTGCTCTGGAGGCCATGACTAGGCAGAAGGGCCTTGCCCTTCAGAAGAAACTCAAGAGGCTAGGTGAGAGGAGGGCTCAGATAGGCCCAGAAATCACTGGCAGAGATAGGAAGTGATGGGGTTGTAACAGAGTCCTAAAATATCAGAACTGGAAGGAACTCTGGATTTCTATTTTAGCCCCTCCATTTTACAGACGGGAGAACTAAAGCCCTGTGGAGGGCAATTCCTTGAAAGTATAGCAGGTTATTACAAAAAGCACTTGTGCAATACTTTCTTGAAGCTGAGCTCTGGCCTGCGTGCTTTCTCTGCACTAACTCCTTTGACCCTCGCCACAATCCTAGGAAGCAGGTACTGCGACTCTCTCCAGTGTAGAGATGAGGGGAAGGAGGCACAGAGGGCTTAAGGACCTGGTCCGAGTCCACACAGATAGGGTAGCAAATGGAAGCCTGGTCTGGCTCCGTGCAGGCCGGCACTGTGAGGGAGAAGGTTAGGCTCTTTAATGTAGTGTGAAACGGAGATGGTCATCTTGTGGAAGATTGTCCACTTGTGGAAGCAAGGAGAAGGCTTCTTGAAAGAATTACTCATAGGCCTGATTATAAAAACACTGCGCTTGGCTGTCCAGAGACCCCTACGAGAAAGCTTCAGTGAACCCAAGATTGGGGATCCACCAGATGATCCTAAGTAGCCAAGAGAGACAAGGCACTGGGGGCTACGAGCAGAGGTCTATGTTTCCAGAGAAAGAACCACGCCACGAGGAAAGGACTTGGTGTAAGGGATTTACTCAAAGAAGATAGAGCAGGCCAGTCTACTCTTGCTCTTGTGCCAGGCTTTCTAGCCAAGATGCACCAGCCTGTGAGGTCTTGATGTTCTCATATGCTACTTTCCAAGGCAAGGAAGATAGTACCTCAAAAAGATGTTCAATGATGGGATTTAAAATAGACATTTCAAAGGGCTTCCAGTAAATCCTTGGCCAACCAAAGATTTCTATTTCCCAGAACTTTCCCGGAAACTTCCTCTCACCATGAGCACGCGCGCGCGCACATACACACACACACACACACACACACACACACACACACACACTGGCCACTCCAATTCTGCCTCATTAGTTTCAGCATGAACACACGTTTCAGTATTAAAAACTACTTACCAATAACTGCTAGATTATGCTCTGAGCCACAAGAGATCTGAAAACAAAAGAAAATAAGTCCCATTAGAGAAATTCTTAAAGTAGAGCAATATTTCAACCAGTTGATTTAGTGACCATGAATTTTCTCATATCTATCTATCTATCTATCTATCTATCTATCTATCTATCTATCTATCTATCTATCTATCTATCTAATTATCTATCTATCTGAGATCTTTAGAGAAGAAGTGGCAAGGGACCCCACAGACAACGGTCACAACTGCAGTTACAACACGGATCACAACTGTGATCTCTACACAACTGTGTAGAGAGAAAAGTTGAGAAAAAGTGTTGACTGGAAATACCCCAAGATATGAAAGCAGTTATCTTTAGGCAGTGAGGTCACCAATGAATTTTTTTTTAATCCCAAAAGATGAAAGATTTCAAAAACAGAACTGAAAAGAGGATCACTCTCATCTAGACCGGAAAAGGAATGAGCAAAGAATTCCGTGGGAACAGACTCATCCAAGGGGAGGGGCTTGCTTTTCCTCAGATGCCACTCTCCCTCCCGCCCTCCACCCTCCAGCCACACAAACTGCCGCAGTTCCTGAGCACAGGCTGTTCCTCTGCCCAAGATGCCCTCTCCTCGCCTGCCTCCCTAGAAACGTCTATGCCTCCTTTAAAATCTCACCTCCCAGGGCCACTGAGATGCTTTCCCAGTCACCTCTGGGTAGACCCAGGCACTCCCTTACCATGTGTCTCATCTGACCCCCGGCCTAACAACTCTCTGGCTGCGTGCTAACCCACTAGAGGACATGTGTCTTGCGAGCAGGACCGAGGCTCATTCAGCTCTGTGGTGCTCAGACGGATCCTACAAGGGCTGGAACTCCGATAACAGCTGTGAAATGTAAGCACGGAGGAACAAACAACATGCCTAGAACAAATACCTAACACATACAAAGACATTTGTTTGAGGTTTGGATTCTAGTGTTTCCATTCAGTGAGACATGTGTCTTGCCTTTCAGTCTCCACATGTCCCCAATGCTGCCAGGAGGATGGCACTGGGAACATCCAAGCACAACTAGTTCCCCGCGTACTAATTAAAAGCAACTCCAGACTTTGGAGAAGCATCCTGTGAGGTGCATGCTCACTTGAGCTCATGCTAAGAGGAAGACATCAGGAACTCATGCCCACCGTAAAAGGAGCCACTGAGGCCCAGAGGGGGGACATGATTTGCCTCGGGTCTCAGAGAAAGTCTTTGGCTCTTCTGATGCTCACAAAAATTCCTTTCTTGGTGCTATAGCCTCTCACTCTGTCTCAGTGAAAACCACCTGAAGGCGTGCTCAAAGGTCCCTGGCCGTTAAGTTAAGGTAGCATATTCCCCCAAAGATAAAGTCTTCACCTGCCCGCTCCAAGTCTGGAGGCCAGGGAGAAGATGGTCCTGCACTCTGTGCCTGTAGCTCGTACTCAGAGGATGACAGGTTGTTGAGACAGGCTCGCATGGCAACAAATAAAGAAACCCCAGAGCTTTCTGATGAATGGGGAAAGAACAAGAAGAAATATTTCTGAAGGAGAATCAAACTTAGCACCATTATAATCAAGTTTTCCAAACACGCGCTTTTTGGAAAGGGAACCTGGTCGAACTGAAGAGCCCGCTTTGTTCCTGGCTTGTGCCAGACACTTACTTACGTAACTGTGCACTCATTTAGCCCTCGTTACAAATTTCCAAAGGAACTGTTATTGTACCAAACCAAAGTTCAGTTAAGCGTTGCATGTGATACTCAATATTATCATCACTATGTTGGTTATTAAGTATTGGCTAATTGCCTGTCACTATGTTAGGTATTAGGATTGTTGAGAGCCAGTAACGGTCTCTGCTTCCCCCAGAACCCCCAGTCTAGGGGAGACCTGCAGGTAGATACCTAGCATTTTGAGGGCTGATATAAGATAGGAATGAGAAAAACGCCATAGAAACATTCTGGGAAGCACAATTATGACGGTGGGACAGCTTTTCTTCTATTCTCTCTGGTCCACGCAGCTTTAACTATAGCGATAGCAGCAAGACTGGTAGGGATGACAGGTCCCAGGAATCGAGGACTCATGTTCGTGAGCTATCATGCCAGGGCACTTTATAAATATTTAAATCATCAAAATAACCTCTTCAGGCACTTTCAGAGAAAAGGAAACTAAGGCTCATTGACAGGATAAGCTACTAGCTCGTTAAGTGGAAGCCTTAAGCCATTATAGCCCAGGTCTACAAGATTTCCAAGCTAACGCTCATCACGCTACATCATGTAATCGCTATTACTAAGAAACAAAGTTCTTTCATTTTATAGCAGGCAGAGAGAGAAAGGGCCTGCCTCTGGCTGCCTCTGTTCATTCCAGGGCTAGTGAGAGAAGGGCTGACCAACCTTGAGGACCAGGGGCTTCTGGAAACAAGCCATTGACAAATGCCAGCATCAGGCAGCAGATGCTGCTCTGAATTAATGAGTGCGACAGTGATGAATGGGTTTGCTCAAGGCTATGTAGAGCTTGAAGCTCAATGTGTCCCACTCCTTTCTGCTGCCTGAGCATTGGCACGGAGGTCAGGAGATTGAACACCACACCACAGGCCACAATATCCCAGGGATGCACTCCCGCAACGAGATTCTATCAACGACCATTTGCTTCATATCGCTGCTGTCAACATCCACCCACCGCCCAGCTGAAGGCAGTTTTCAGAAGACTCCGCTAACAATGGCAGCGTGCCCAGGAGAAAGAGACCCAGAGCCAAGAACCCAGGTGAGTCCTCCGCTTCCTGGCATGTAACCTCTCGAGCCTTGGCACGCTTGGATGTTAAAAGAAGTTAACAGGGTCTGTCCAACCTGCCTTACAGGTCTACTAGAAGACAAATGAGATGCTCTACCCCCTCACAGCCACGCATTGCGTCTTTCTAATGGACAAAGCTGGCTATGTGTGCCGGATTCAGAAGCTTCCACAGCTCCTCAGCACTGACAGGGCCAAGTTTCAACTCCCTAGGAAAGCCCTCATGAGGAGGGCTCACACTTCTCTGGCTGCTTCTGCTCCTGAACCATCAGCCCCTCAACATATATTCACTCCGCTTTGTTCATTCAGGCCACATTTCTTACATTTCCTTTGGAAACCTAGGGACATTTTAGGCTTTTAGGCATGCTATTCCTCTGTCTGAACTTCTCTTTCTCCCACCACCTAGCTAGCTAATTCCCTCGAATCATTTGACCTTGCTCAAGCATCCCCTCCTGGTCAAGTATTGCCTGACTCTTCCAGGCCAAGCTAGCTGTACCCGCCCGGGCTGCTCCCACAGGACCATGTATCATTGCTATTGTCACCCCTGTGCATGCTCTAGGCTCTCTGCTTTCCAGGCATTTCTGCCCCACAGTCCAAGAGCAGGGCATGAGGAGGTATGGGGGACCCAAGCGAAAGATAAGGGGCCATGGGCAAGTGAATGATACCAAAGCAAGTGCATGTAGGGGCGAGGGCACCCCAGTCCAATTGGAGGCAGGCACAGCGAGGCCGGTTAGGGAGGCTCACTTCAAGCACAGAGTGTGGAGACACTCGGACCCGGAAGCAGCACAGCAGAACTGTCCCAGGAACTGCACAGCCACACACAGAGGACCAGCCACGAAGTCAGTGCCAGGAAAGCAGTCTCGTGGCAGGATAGCCAGTTCCAGCTCACCAGCAAAGACCTGCAAGGGGGGGGGGAGGGTGGAACACGGCTGGCTGGAGAACTGGTTCACTGCTGCCCAGGCACAAGCAGGGTCTTCTTTGTTCAACCGCCTTCTAAACGCCCACCAGCTTCCTGCCATCAGTTCTGTGAAGGAGAGAGCCGCAGCTCCTTAGGGGGCTGGGTCTGGAAATAGCAGCAGGTAGGTTCCGAAAGGGTAAGAACAGGCGGGTGGGTCGGTGGCCGGTAAATATGTGCTGGAAGCATCCATGCGTTAAATGGATGAACAACTCTATAAATCGGCAAAAATAAAGGATCGGGAAAATACTCGCCAACCTTGGCGTGGGAGAGCCCTTCAGAGGTCAGCAGTACCGAGCTGTACCATATTGAGTACTGATGACCAAAGAGCTGGCTAACTGCTTCGCCTCTATGACCACACTTAAACTGAGTACAAACCCTGAGGGTGTCTCTTGGTGCAATCACTTTACAAAGGAGGCGAATGGGGTTCAGAGAGAGCGAGAAGAGAGAGAGGAACTTGCCCAATGTCACACAGCTAGTCAGGTGAGACCGGTCAGAACTCTGTGATAGGAGGCAAGTGCTCTGCTCTCAGTGGTTTTCTCCTTCTTCGTGTGGAGGGAGGAAATCCACTGCCCTTCTTCCTGACCTTTGGCAACTCTGTGCTGATCAAGGGATTTTCAGCAGGAAGGACCTGAGACTTAGAAGACAGACGCCACCTTGCTCGGGCACCCTGTGCCTCTGGAGGTTGTTCCACGGCTCTCTCTGTCAACAAAGTCTTGTCCCCCTGCCCTCCCCATGGACGCTACCCCTTCACAAGAGAACGCCACCTGGTCATCTGCCATCATCTGAGGCTTCACATCAGGATGAACACATCAGAGTGGGGTGGAGAGAGGACACCGGCATGCAACCAGGACTCAGGGGAAGCGGGTCACCCAAGGAGAGCATGTGGGCCCGGTAGGCTGCATGGGCGGCACCTTCCGCTGAACAAAAAAAACCACCACAACCAAGGGGACCATAAAGGACTCAGTGGTCCATTGCACCTACTGATTGGCTCCCACCCCAGTGCCAACGGGCCCAGGCGCCCATAGATGCTATGGCAACAGAGCAGGAGCAGAGGCACATGAGGGCTGGGGGGTGGGGCGGCCAATCTGGGGCCACAACAGAGGGCTTGGCTGGCCAGGCACCACCTGGAAGCCTGGATCCCTGTGGCAGCAAGTCCTTTGCAGGCACAGCCTGCTGAGTGCTCAGGGCAGTTGCAGACAGGCAGCGGGAGCAGGTTGCTGCCCAACCTCCCGCTGGCCCATGGGTGACATGGGCGCCTCCCTCCTCCTTTGCTAGAACTCTGCCCAAGCACGGTC